CTTTTTTTAACTTTTTGATCTGCTGAATAAAGGGACATAGACGACATGGACAAACATAGACAATTAGGCGCTTTGCTTCCTATATGAGGCTCCCTCTGTAATCGCAGCAGTATCAGAAAAATTCTGACATAGCATGAGCAGACATCAGCCAGTGCTTAGGCTCTTTACATTTTGACGCAAAAATTTCTCTCAATGCTTCTTTGCAACTTTTCAGAGACTGCCATCGACAGTGGCATTAAGTTTGTTAGTCCTATATCTGTGTGGAATATCCTGTCAAAATTGATCCAACAGAATTTCTACCAGTTAAAAAATGTGCAAAGTGTTTTTAATTCATAAGTTTGCTGGTAGTAATCATCCCTGCGTATAAAAGCCCACATAACATTCAGCAAAGGGACCGGGTTCACATGTAACATACTGACAAATTGCACCATGCTTGGGTTCTAAACCAGCGATCACTGGGTTCCGGAACCCACGAGAACTGGCAACGTTTCGTGAATGCCGGTAAGCTCGCCTATCGGGTTCGCGAACCCACTGGCGAGTATAGTTGAAACGACCGAAAATTTTCGTCGAACGAATGAATTTCGAATAATCGGCTTTTGAAAAATATTCGAACGAACGAATATTATTCGATCTGTGATTTTCAGATTATTCGAATTTGAATATTCGAATAATGCTACATTTCAAAATTCGAATGAACGAATATTCGAATAAATGGGGTTGGTTGAATATTCGACTATTCGAATAATCGAATAATCATACCGGTCCGAATATTCGACTATTCGAATAATTCGAATAATTTAGAGGCTCAAACAATGCTGGTTTTTTCTTTGTTGCGGTTTGCAAAAAAACTTAATCGCTATACAGGGTGTCCCAAAAAAATGTTTAGAACGTTTGATCGTTAATATCTCTCTTCCCAAGAAGTCTTTTGCCTTACTTCAGGTACCGTTTTGTAGAGCTGGCTTCAGCTTAGATTTCCATTATAGAACGAATCACCCATCTCTCTTCATTACTGTAGGGTTACGGTAGAAACTTCAAAGAGGGTTTTGAACCATGAAAGGCCATATTGCCTCAGAAAGGAAACAAAACAGCCTGAAAACATTTACATCAGGCTATTTAGAATTGCTGATTATATGTAAAGTTCCCAACTTATTATGATGCTTCTTTGAAGAGTTATGCCAGGTGAGAGGTAGCGGCCTTTTTTTCAATGTTCCTAAAAAGTGCGATTACACCGTTTAGAAAGCTTCGTAATCTTGTAAATAGTTGAGTATTGAACTCAGCGTCTATAAAAACCCTATTACACAAGTTTTCATAATTTTTTGAAAAATTTTAAAACGGCAGCTTTTTTTACATTGACACCATATGTTTCAAGTTTCTACCGTAATCCTACAGTAATGAAGAGAGATGGGTGACTCGTTCTATAATGGGAATCTAAGTTGAAGCCAGCTCTACAAAACGGTACCTGAAGCAAGGCAAAAGACTTCTTGGGAAGAGAGATATTAAAGATCGAACGTTCTAAACATTTTTTTGGGACACCCTGTATTTGATCTAGATTTGTAGCTCTTAATTATATGTGTAGCAAGTGGTAGGATGACTGGGTTATTATCGTTGCTCAGGGTTCCACCCAGGAAACAGAAGAATTTCACTGAAACATGTAGTTCAAGGTATTCGTAGCCTTTTGAGACGGCTACTAAGCCTTACTTAGTAATCATTTCAACGCATTTATTCTTCCTTACAGAAGTTTCTTCCGAAGTTACACAGATCTTTTTCCCAAAGCTTAGATTTAACATGGAAAACCTTTTAGATTAGGTAGTTGGTTGTAATTTATTCGTAATGGTCAGCATTGCGTGAGTTCTAAGACTAGCACTGGGGGAGCACGAGGAAGGCCTACAGTAATAGAATCAGTGAACCTCTGCGGTTGTCCCGAAAGTTTTGTCCGTTTTTTCAAACCGCTATAGAACCACGCGCAATAAAGACCTGAATGACTCCCAACATGCATTCGATGCAGCTTTTCCCTCTCTTTTAAGAATACATTTTCGAACCACAATTTTATATACTTTCTTTGATAATTGCCAAAATTCTCCATCCGTCAATTTTATCTGCTCAAAGTTAAGCTACCTTTTTAAATTTTCATTCCAAAGTCTTAAATTTTATTCCAAAGTTTCGGAAAGGTCTAAGTATGAATCAAATAGAGCAATTCTCGGACTACAAGATAATATTTTTAGATTCTCTTAGTTTGCTGTTTTTAGCTTCAAAAACATTATTTCTGCGGAAGTTTCGATTTTTTTGAGTCATGAAACACGCAACTGCAGCAAATACACAAAAGCTTTTAAAGCTTTTGCGAATTGAAATATGATTCTTATCAAACACTATCTATGCTACATAACCAAGTTTGATTTGCTTTGAAAAAGCAGCTTTTCGGAATTTCCGGTACTTTTAAGTGGTAAATGTAATCAAAAAGCGCAGCTTTCATCAAACAAATAATTATAACGAGCTTGGTAAACATGGATGTAATCTAAATTGGATACAATGTAGCCAGAGGCATGCTCTACATAATAATTTTCCGCGCTCTTTGAAAACATTAGGATAAATTTTTTTTGAAATTCAGTAAGGATTTGGCGTTACTTCCGAGCTGCTCAGAAAGCCGTGTCGATAACATTGCAGAGGCAGAGTAGATCAGAGAGCAAATAGAGCTGTAAGAAAGAAGGTAAAAATATGTATCAAATCGTTCTTGAGTTGTCCATGCTTTAATGTTCTGTGACTTTGTTGTAGCCTTCTACTTGTACTTGTACTTGTGGTGGGTCCGGGACACTTGTAGAATAATAGGTTTATTAGTAGACCGGATATGAATAAGAACAAGACGATAAGACGAGACGAACGAATGACTTAGCTAGCAGGGAGCGCCTTATATAGCGCTCAGATCCCGCGCATAGGTCAATACAACACCAATAGATCAGATCACTAAACAACAACAAACAAACAATAACAAATAAATGCTACTCTCCAACAGACTTCTAGTGAGCGATGGAAAAAAAGGACAAAACTTTCGGGACAACCTAATACTTCTGTGCTCATATAAATGCAAAAAAAGAAAACTCATGGAAGTATTTGTATATTAGCTGATAATCTAACACTTGTCGGGAATTCTCGATCAGTGAGTTTCAGAGTTTCTTCTGTAGGACTGAATTCTCACAAAGTTGTTTTAGTTGTATTTTTGAGGTTTCTTTTTTGTAAGGGATCTTCCACATCTCTTACTCAAGTTCAAAATAAATAATGTTCAACCTACACGCCTACTCAAAGTATTATTCCTCTACAAACTTTGCAACCTTTTAATACTAGTTTTATAAGACTGGGCAGCCGATTTGAGCATAGTGACTGATATAAGACTGCCCTCAAGTCAAGCGGCACAGCTCCTTACGACCGCCTTGCTCTGGCCTTGCGTTGTAACGTATCTTGAAGGTATTCTGACATGCGAGCGGTGCTTAGGCTGGCAAGGCAAGTGAAGATCTCGAGATGAAGGAATGAATGTTGCCTATACCTGCTGCCTTAGGAGACTGTTAATCCTTTACATGCTTATGCAAGCTGTTTGAGGACCAGTGGTCTGCTAAAGGGCGCCTAATGACGGCTTTTCTTCCCCCAGTTTAGAGCTTGGGAGCCTTTCCGCATGATATCGCATCTCGACTTTTCAGACGCGATTTGCAGAAGATAGTTCATCACTCCAGATGAATTATAAATAATACTTGTCATCACTATGCTCTGGCATGACTCGCGACTCATGCCCTAAAAAGGGAAGCTTGCTAACCATTCTATCATATGATGATTCATTTGTGTGACTGACCGCTCGGGGACATACTTGTACTCAGTGTAGAACAGCTGAAAGTTTTCTTTTGACATCGAATGTTCGAATGAATGTTCTTAAATATTCGAATATTCGAATGACTGTCTTTCAAGTTGCTCGAATATTCGAATATTCGAATAACTGTCTTTTAAAATTCCTCGAATAAACGAATATTCGAATAACTCACTTTTCCAAATCATCGAATGAACGAATTATTCGAATACAGGCCTTTCTCATTTATTCGACTATTCGAATAATCGAATAATTGGACTTCCTCGGATATTCGACTATTCGAATATTCGAATAGTCGAATATTTCGAATAAATTATTCGAACACGAATATTCGGTTCTAACTATACTGGCGAGTTGATTTCAATACTCTACCTTAGACGATATGCATTTTGAGAAGCTACTCAGCTCTTGAATGATAGACAAAATCTCCACCTTCGCAGTTTGAAAACTGTTTTGATGTTAAAGTTCCAGACTTGTTAATCAGCATACGTAAGAAATTTTAGGAAGGTTACTTTAATCTATTGAGCCACTTAAGCAAGGCTTGACTGAAGAATTGCGACGTTGAAATAACGCAGAGATGCACATTTGATGAGTTTCGATCTCAGAAGGACTATGAACTCTGCTACTGTACAGTGCTCTTTGAGGAATTTTCAGAAATAAGCAGGGCTCTGCCCTTGTCGGATAAATCTTGTGATCTAATTTGTTTCCAGGGGCGGTATGCATCAATCTCCCGTTTTGAAAACGGGCGATCATTTTCAATAGAAAATGATCGCCCGGCTGGGTTGGCCGCCCGACCCGTGATTTATGAGCTGTTGAAAATGATCGCCCGCTTTCGAAATGGGAGATTGATGCATACCGCCCCAGGATAAGCTTTCTTACATGGATCAAATCCTATATTCATTAGGCGCAATAGAAGCTTTAGCTGGGCAAGGGTAAATCGCTAATCTTGATTCTTTGCCTTAAACTCGCCCTCCCCTTTCTCCCCCTCCCCCGTAGCCAGTGAAGAGTTGTTGCCCCCAGTTCTGCGCCTTCGTCCGGTAGTAGACAGCATTCCTCTAGCAATATATACGCTCGTCACGCAATAATGTTTCTGAGTGAACTCATCCTTTCTTCCCGATTCTCAACATCTTTTTCAAACAAATGTTCTTCAAGATTCAAGATAAGGTTTACTGCATTAATACGAAGGCGAACACTTGTACACAAATTGCTTTGATAAGTGATTTGCCGAAATAATTTTGATTTTCAACAGCAGCATATGCAGATGATCACAATTGCCACAAATGTCACTGTTATGCAGATAGCCAGATATCCAGCACCCTGCAACTACTTGAAGATTTGAATGCAGATTATATGGAAAACTCTCTCACACTGATATATCCACAACACATTTCATTCAAGGGACCGCAACACTCGAGGCCCCATATACAAATCATCGGAGAACATTCCATTTTTAAAATCGTATCGTTTGGACACTTCTGTAACAGAAAGTTATTTTGTGAGGGAAAAAGAGTGAATACAGCTGAATAGATTTTCCGCTTAATATAGTGTGCTTGCACTGCAGGTAAAATGATTAAGAATCGTGCGTGACAATACGCACGCCATTAATACCGGCATTTTGCGCGCATTTGGCCGGCATCAGAGGCGTATACCATCGGCTCCCCGTTTGCTGCCAGGGCGATAGTCAACCGATAATCAATTTATCAGCTATGTTTCAACACAGGGCAACCGCATCGCTGATACGCTCGCCCGGGTCCGCCCTTGCGGCAATCGAGGAGTCGATGGTACTTAATATCTGTTCACGCGCAAAACTTACCGCATTTTACCTGCAGTGCAAGCAACAACATCAAACGTAAAATCTACTCGACTGTACATTGAAGTGCGCACCAATGTGCCCCAAGGGCAGAATGGACGGCTCATAACCGCAACCACAGCTGATTATTCTTCTGATCGCTTTGGATTCTCTGAAGCAGTTAGATCTGAGCAGTGGAGGATCTGAGAGCGGTGTGGCAGTCTGCCGGTCAGGATGCAAACAAAACTAGAAATACAGACATACCCTTCCCTCTGCATTTCGTCTAGAATCTCATCTACCATTATCGGGATGACGTGGAAAGATAGAATCTTTCTCATTAAAAGATGTAGTGCGATTCGCACGACCGTATTGTTTTCCACACAGGACCACCGCCCCGCGCGACACACCTTGTAGAGGCTTCTGCCTAAGCAGAGGGAGGGAAGATTTGCGCGTGCGTGACGTGTTGAGACAAGTCAAATCCAGGGCAGCACTGGAGACCGCCCGTGCGAAAAGACCGTCTCCCGGCAAGATGGCTTGAATCATTCAAATAACCTTCTGCGAGGTAGCGAGGTGATGAACTTTTCATATTGACTCCTGTATGATATAGAAGAAGACAAATTATCGATTTTGAAACACCAACTCATGTAGATAAAATATTTATTAAACGTTAGAACACAGTTAACTGATGTACAAGTAGTAAAGGATGAATATTGCAGGAATGCAGAATGAAATGACAATCGCCGGCGGAAACATCTCCGAAAATGTACTTTCTTCCTCACTTTCTTCTAGCTTTTTAGAGTCGAAGCCATTATTCTTACGCTTTTCGTCTTTGCTTTTTTCGCTGTCTTTGCTTTTATAAACATCTTTGCTTTTTTCCTCGCTCTTGGAGGACGAACTTGCTTCCTTTAGTACACCATCTTTCCACCTAATATATTTTTCCTAACGTTGGACTAGTATTCTACGACTGTAAAGTACCTGAGCTTATGGGTGCGCATGTGAGCTATGGCCGGACGAGGATCTTTCATAATTTCATATTTTGTCCTTTCCTGCTCTTTTCGTCTCTGAAATTTCAACATCAAAAATAATGCTTGCTGGTGACATTTATTTCTTTACCCTCTCATCGGGAACACGTCCGGAAACACCTATAAAAGTTGTAAAACGCTTAAGCTTCGATAAGCTTGACAGGCATAGGCTTACCGTACTTGTCGCCCAACAGTTTGTTCTCTGGAGTTCTACTTTTATTGGTGCTGTCCTGCATGGTAATGCAGATAGGATTACGTTGGTGACTTTTTAGGATAGCTCACAGTCTTAGATTTGCTTTTGTCCATAAAACTTGCAGTTGGTAGGAGGAGGCACCTTCTCGTCTCACGAAAATTAAAAAATGATTCAACACCATTACATACCCTTTTGTATTCTGTCCATGTTTATTGGCGATATATTTTAATGCGATTCTTAAAGCAAGCTTAATGAAGCGGTCGTTCGACTCGAGAATTCCTAATTGATCTTTTTATGCAAATCAAAAACAGGTTCAAGTTGCAGTTTGACGAACCTTGTTTTTTTACAACTTTTTAGGGCTTTGCCCAAGGACATCTTGAAGTTCGTCGCTTACGCGCGTTAGTCTACACATAAACAGCCGAAGTAGGAAGCTTGGCACTTTTAGTTAACTTTGTTAACAAATTTTGCATCGTTTTCATCGATTCCGGTTATCTTTATCCAAAGACTTAACGTCGCAGAAAGATTACAGGCGTTACATTTTACCCTAATTTCATGCGTACAAGGCGCGGGGGATTTTTTTTTCAAAATCCGCCAGCTCAAACACGCTACAACAATATGCTACCAAAGAACCTTATACTGGGCTCCTTATTGCCTGAGAAAATTGAACGGTTTAATGTTAGCTTTCCAAAACACATTGAACGGTTGAGCGGCTTGTTTGAAAAATACAAAAAGGTGCGCCTTGTACGCGTGAAACTAGGGTATTTGGATCAAAACTCACACTAAATCACCCAGCTATCCCTTTCTGTTACTCTACCTCGTAGTACCACGTCTCCTTTATCTCCCTCGCGCTCCTGCTCTAGATCCGCTCCAGCGGTCCTTCAAATTTGTCTTCCTTCCAATCTGCCTCGTTTCGTAACTTCTCCCTCCACTGAAGGTGCGATAGGTGGAGGCCGGGCCCCTCAAAAGTGAAGGTGATTCCAGCTACCACTGGCCGGCCAAAAGTAAAGGTGGTAGTGCCGGACACCTCACCTCCCAAAAATGTCGACCGGGGGGGGGGTCGCAGCTGCCGCTGGCCAGCAAAAGTGAAGGTGGGAGTGCCGGACAGAGAAGGGGGGGGAGCACAGGACGAACTTTGGGTTTGGGTTTTTGGGTTGGTTTGGGTTTTTTTCGGATTTTCGGGTATTGATTTTTTTGCTGAAGCTGAAAAAAAGGAAATTAAGCAAAACGAACGCAAAAGAAAGTATTGAGAGCATATTCTATGTAGTTTAGTTTTAGGAAGGCGCCGTCGCCTACTGCGAGCATCAAGGCCATCACCGGCATGGACGCATATACGCCTCAGCACTTTCTACGATAAAGCAAAGCTTCATGATGACTTCGGGCAACTGAAGAGCTCTAACCCAACGGTCCTTTTTGGGGCCAATAACTGTGACCCAATGGCCCTCTTTAGGGCCACAAATACCATGAGTACAACTGCATAAATATTTTAAATAAATGTGTCAATGAAATAGTGTGTTTGTGAGTGATACTCAGCTAGACTTTATGTATTTTATTAAGTACATATTGTTCTAACGTACTGAGAAGAAAGTAGGTCGATCCAGGCAGTAATCGCCGAGAACCAGAATTTCGAATGATAATATAATGAAAAGTCGTGCGATGATTCCACTGTTATAAATCTGCTGGTTGAAGATGTCAGCATTGCGACTTCATAGGTTCTGAAGGGTAAGTATTGTTCTACCAGAAAGTGAAAGAATCAGTTTGATTTGAGGAGTGGCCGCCGAGAACGAGTTTTGAAAAATCACGCGATTTTAGTTGCTTAATGACAGCTGACATTTAAACTCTTTTAAATCCGGACTTTGAAGGTGTGTGATGTTGCGACTTCATGGGTTTTGTAGAGTGAGGTTTGCCCCATCAGAATATGTCTCAGCTGTACCGATCCATTGAAACATCGCCGAGATCCAGGCTCTTGAAAAAGCAGGTACTTTCAGCTCATAACTTCTTCGGAACTGCATGAATCATGTTGCGACTTCATAGGTTAGATTCTCCTCTTCATGAGTTTCAGATGTTATATAATATGTGGGGAATTTAATGTTTCTTGCGGCTCTAACCCGGGGTGGAACTTCTCTTCACATTCTCCACCCCACCCATTTCAATGTATTGGCTGGAGGCCGCTAGTGGAGAATTAGTGAAGAGAAGTACTCCACCCCCGGGCAATATGTCTTGGAATGCGTGAATCCCCCGCATATTATAAATCATTTGAACGCTCTTGAAGAGGAGAATCCAATCTATGAAGTCGCAACATCACATACCTTCGAAGTCCGGATTTAAAAGAGTTTAAATGTCAGCTGTCATTAAGCAACCTAAAATCGCGTGATTTTTCAAAATTCTCGTTCTCGGCGACCACTCCTCAAATTAAACTGATTCTTTCACTTTCTGGTAGAACAATACTTACTCTTCAGAACCTATGAAGTTAATTGCTGATATCTTCGACCAGCAGATTTATAACAGTGGAATCATCGCACGACTTTTCATTATATTATCATTCGAAATTCTGGTTCTCGGCGATTACTGCCTGGATCGACCTACTTTCTTCTCAGTACGTTAGAACAATATGTACTTAATAAAATACATAAAGTCTAGCTGAGTATCACTCACAAACACACTATTTCATTGACACATTTATTTAAAATATTTATGCAGTTGTACTCATGGTATTTGTGGCCCTAAAGAGGGCCATTGGGTCACAGTTATTGGCCCTAAAGAGGACCGTTGGGTTAGAGCTCTTCAGTTGCCCGAAGTCATTATGAAGCTTTACTCTATCGTAGAAAGTGCTGAGGCGTATATGCGTCCATGCCAGTGATGGCCTTCAGATGCTCGCAGTAGGCGACGGCGACTTCCTAAGAGTAAACTACATAGAATTTGCTCTCAGTACTTTCTTTTGCGTTCGTTTGCTTGATTTCCTTTTTTCAATATCAGCAAAAAAAAAATCAAAACCCAAAAGTGAAGGTGGTCACCCTGTACCAGTTCAAAAGTGAAGGTAGGCGGAGAATCGGCTCCGACTATAGCACCTCTGCTCTCCACCGCAAGTTGTGAACCAGCTTTAACGCTTCTTTCCATATTACTATGGAAAATGATTTGATTATAATTGATAAGTTTTCATTTACCAGATTTACATATCAGTAAATCGACAGAGGGGTGCGGCAACTGCAAAAGCTCATTTTGCTTATCTAAAGAGGAGCAAAATTCGGTTTTCTCCGCACACTTAAAAAGATTTCTCTAAAGAAGGTAGTCAAAAGAGTACTCACAAACTTTGATTAAACGTGTATGGTAAATAGTCTTTTCAAAAATAATATCGCTTTTTAAAACAAGCATCACATTTTACAAAAGACTCATAGAGGATATCAAGAGCGTTCAATGCAGTTCAAATAACTTATTTATTTTGATGTTTGATCAATAAGGTCCTAGAAAATTACCAAAACTACATCCCGCCTTTTTTACCGTGATCAAGTTTCGCTGCCTTTCTAAATTTTTGTGGTGAATCCCGCAAGAAGTCCAGGTAGACTGTGAATAAGCAAACTAAAATTCCTCATAAAACCTCTTTCTCTTATCAAGTACCTCATCGAACACTACCGGCGAAACGATCGAGTGGTATTCGACGCGGCATTTTCCCAAATGTCACAAATGTTTGTTTTTGATTTAAAGAGTCTTGTGGATAAAAAGTTATCATAATTCATTTTTTGAACACGCCACGGTCTATGTCCGATAAAATTCGAGATTTGATATTTCAGAGCATTGAGCGCTCATTTGTATTGTGAAGTCATTTGCATTGTTGAATCATAATTCACTTCCGGAAGTTTCAATCTCGAAGATTCATTTGTGTCTGACGCTTTTATGTTTGTCTGCTAAAATTCGGCGTTTTAGAGATTCATCAGAGTTGGCGATTTAGGGTAGGAAAAAAGTGTTTTCTATCCTGCAGATTTGTTCTAGGCAAAGAGCCGAAAAAGTCTAGGATATTAACCTTGCCAAAAATCGTTTCTGAGTTTTTAGTAAAGTTACCAATATCATACATGAAACTCTATTCCACGAAATGTGGCTCTTGTCATACAAAAAAACCGATGGTGGGACGACCTAATATATTTTTATGTGATCCATTACCAGTAAGTAAACTCTATCTATCGCACGTAAGATTTCACGCCATTATTTGCAAATCTTATCAAATCTGACCTCTTCAAAGTATTAGGTTGATGCAAAAGGAATGGCCGATTTGCGAATTCCCACTTTGATGTGCTATAACTTTCTAAAAGATCCACATTTCTGAATGAGGTAAAGACCTCTAGAAGCAGCAAACCTTTCGCAATACAGCGCATAGTTATTTATACTCAAATCATAAACGGGAAGAGAAATACGGATTAAAAGACAAAAAAGGTTCTTCTGCGGGAACCTTGTTTTTGACAATTCATAACTTCCTTCAAAGATTCTTAGTATGAATGATAAGCAACCTATCTTGTAGCCGCAAGCCAGTAGTACAAAATACAATAAAAAGAATTCGGGCAAAAAGTTTGCGAGAAAGAAAAAACTGAAATTTAAAATTTCTCACTTTTTTCAACATTTTTCAGTGTGCCTCAACGTCCGGAATATAGAATTTTGTGATTTTCTACGGAGTGAACAGCTGGATGTTTTTGCAAAAACTGCTAATATATGTCCTAGCTCTACGCTTACAAAATTGAGCAATGCTTCGGCGACTGACTTCCTTAGAAGAAAATTATGGGTCATAAAATGACCGCAACAGCTACCCATGTTTAGGCGCCGATATCTCAGTCTAGATAACTTCAAAGAATGCAGTTAAGTATGCATAATGTAGAAAATTTCTATTACATACAATAGCTAAATTTTCGAAGAAATCCCATTAAATAGCACTTGAATTCTGGCCGGAAAAGTGAATGCAATGAAATTCTGAATTTGGATGCGGTATTTAAAGCTCAGTAACTTTATAAGAGGTGAGGATGAGAGCCCGTTTCAAGCACCTTTAGATAGAGCATGAAAACAGCTTCGCGACAATATACTATATCCATTGAAAAGAAGAAGTATTAATGGAAAAAAGTTGCCCTGAAAAAAGGCTTGGAAAATCGGCCATTTCTTTTGCATTAGCCTGATATTTATATCATGACAGTGGGGATCAAATCGACTTGTCCGCAAACGAAGGAGCAAACATTTCTCATTCTGATTGTAGACGTTCCATGGCAAGATTTGTCATTGATCAACATTGAGTGTAAAACTTTAGAAGCAAATTTTGAAGAAGGCATAGCCTCAAACACAGCGATAGCTTTACAAGAAGAGCACCAAGAGGCCGGATTTTCCAAGTCTTTAGAAAGCCTACAAAACTCACTTTGACGAAGTGTAGGTCAAAAATAGCAGATATATTCAAAATGCGAATTTTGCCTGCAAGATTTTTTTCAAATCATCTCATCTTGTAAAATCACAACCGCAAATAGTCGTTGAATGTGCTTTCATGTTAGTACTGTTTACATACAGTTCATACTCATGTGCTGTAAAAGCCGCGAGAGAGGTTGAATCATTTACGCGCAAATGTACCTACGGATGTGGTTGTGTCTACTGCTGATCAGTTGTCTTGGTACTGACGCAGGCAAACGAAAAGGAAAGAAGACTGCGCATTCTACCCGACCTCCGTGTAAGGATATACCATAGGGTTTATTCACGCACGGTAGTGGTGAGCTATAATAGCTTTCCAGACATGGTCGACAGTCTTCTCCCTAATGAAGACGACAAAGACGACGATGCGAAGATTGGGACATCAATCAGTGATTTCTTTCCGTACATCATACCCAAAAAAACAAAGCTCTTACGTTTGCAGCCTTTGTAAGTCTGCTCATTAAGTAAATAAGTTAGCTGGGAACAATGAGCTTGCGGCAGAAAAAATTTTTGAATGCTGTCAAAAAATGTACAAACACAAGAAAAATTCAGATGATAGCGTTTCAAGACCACAGTCTAAGGCAAGGGACATACCTCACGCGATTTCAGTCGCCACGCGATCTGGCAGTTTGCCATATGTCTTCAAATTCAATACTGGAAGACCTCAAATGCACAGCATGTATAACTTTCGTAGGTTGATAAAATAGGCCCCCTCTTCCGTACATTCAGAAACCTCGTAGGATGAGTTATGAACATTTGGAGTATTGCTAAATCGCGTGGCGACTAAAATCGCGTGAGGTATGCCCGAGGCCTAACATATTCTTGATTCTTTTGGTTGAGCGTATCAGAAAGGGAGGAAGTTTGAAGCGCGACGAGCAGAATGTCCGGCTCAAAGTGCAGTGCATCGGAGATCTATTCGGTGGATTTCAATCATGCTGGGCAATAGGGTCAAGGCAATCGACAAAACCCTTTGCTCCGAATCTTTCATAAACTCTGAATACTCATGCGATTTTGTCGCAATGCGTGTGAACTCGGGCAAATGTGCCAAGCCGCCACCAAAGGCATTAGCTTATCAAAGCAAAATTTCGAGTTCCAAAGTAGGCATTTGTTTTTCCCTTTAGCTAATCACTGGTCACTAGTATAACAAGATTTGTATGCCAAAAAATTCCTTTCGTCTCGCCCAAGTTTATCTTGCTCAAGCTTGAATCGCGTTATCTGTCTCCTCCCTCCCTCCTCCCCATGAAGGCAGCCGGGCAGGTGTGACGATAACAAGGATGCAGACGATGCAGAGTGCAGTGGCCAACGTTTTGATAAAGTTCTTACCTAAGTGATATTAGACCAATTTGCTTTTAAAGCGAGAGAACGCTTTAGAAGCGGCGACTTGGATGCCCCGGCGACTTGCTCGTTCTAGAATTGACAAGTTAGACTGCGCATATTGCACACATTTAAGACGTAGGGTTTCAAAAGACTATGCTTCTTAACTTTGGCGGCAAGCGTACAGATTCAAAAACAAGGGCTTTTGTTATACCTCACTTTCGACAAGGGAGCTTCAAGCCATTGTTTCATGATACTAACTCATGAAACTAACTGAGGCATACTGTATGCTTGCTCAATCATAGCTGCAGCTTACGCGCATCAATTTGAGGGATCGTCATGACGGGGCGGAGCATCGCTTTAGCCGTTCCTGCAAGAGTGATGGAGTAAAACATAAACCATGGCTGGTAAATAACAAAATAAACGCATGGAAAATGACGAAGCTGACCTTCCAGCAAATCGCTCCTTGCACGCTACAGCAATTACAATTGAGACCCAGCATAATTCTGGGCTGATTACTTACTTATTTAGATACTTAGATGGCCCATCCTCACGTGACGTGCGGGCCCCAGTACAGAAGTTTCCATTGATCCCTGTCCCTCGCTTCGGACATCCACGATCTTCTTGGTCGTCGTCGGTGGCTGCGTCCACGAGTTCCAGGGGCGAAAATCGTATCCAGCTGATTTCTCAGCTGGTCCATCCGTTCCACGAACACGTCTGCCCATCTCGTCGGTGGTCTTCCTCGAAAACCTTTGGCTTTGCAATACACTTAGATGTTCTTAGGTCTGTTCTTCTCATGATGTGGCCGGCCCATCGGTGTTTCGCTTTCGCACCGTTGGGCACGAAGACGGGACATTCTTCTCATATCCGTGCTGCGAAGTCCGACTAGATGTTGCTTGTGTCGGGTCATCTTCAGAAGACTGCGCTCGAGCGCTCTGTGGGTGCTCCTCAAAGCTTTCGACGTGGCTACGGTGTCGGTCCAAGTCTCAGCTGCGTAGCAGAGCGCTGGGAGAACGATTGAGTCGAACATGTGGGCACAAAGCTTCGGGTCCGTCAGTTGGTCGGTGGCTTCCTTCAGAGGCCGAAGGCGCCAGGCTGCTCTTCTTCTCCTGTTAAGTTCTTCCCTCAAGTCGTTCTCCATGTTCATCGAACGTCCGAGATACACGTAAGAAGACGTCTCCATAATAGGGGTGCCTTCCAATTCCATTTTTGCATCTTCGCAAAGGGCGTTCTTCATGAACTGAGTCTTCTTCCGATTTACTCGCAGTCCGACCTTCTTCCCTACTTCGTTTAGTTCCTCCAGCATCGTCTCTGCTTCAGTGATACTGCTCGAGAAGAGGACGATGTCATCCGCGAAACGAAGGTTGGATAGGAATCTCCCATCAACTCGTACGCCTCTCTCTTCCCAGTCCAGTGACTTCATCACCCACTGCAAGGCCGCGGTGAACAGCTTCGGCGAAATTGTGTCGCCTTGTCGAACCCCCTTCCCAATTGGGATGGTGAGGGGGCGATGGAATAGCTGCATCGTCGTTGTATAGTCCTTGTAACAGTCGGCTAACGTCCTCACGTAAGCTGGGTCCACTCCTTGATCGATTAGCGCAGACAGGATGGCACTGGTTTCGACGCTGTTAAAGGCTTTCTCGTAGTCGACGAAGGTCAGGACGAGAGGCAGTCGGTAATCCCAGCACACTTCTATAACCCTCGAAACCGTCTGGATGTGGTCCATGCAACTGAATCCTTTAAAATCCAGCTTGTTCTTGGGGTTGGGCTTCATTCAGTGTTCTAGATATACGTGCGAGGATAATCTTTGTGAAAAGCTTGTACAGCCACTCAGCAGGCATATTGGTAATTTCGAAGATCCTCCCGTTCATCCTTCTTGAAAAGAAGGATGGTTTTTGGCGTTCTCCACTGGTCGGGAATCCTCTCCTTCTGAAGGTAAGATGTCAGATGCGACGCTAGAATCTCGTGTAGACGTTGTTCTCCGGCTCGCAGAAAATCGACGGAAAGATGATTTGGTTCCGGAGCCGTGGATGTCTTCATGGTCTGAATCGCCGCGCGCACCCTTCAGCAGGTAGAATTCGGCATGGTACTTCTCTAGTGGGAACAACGGGCATCGGCACGGGTGTTGATGAGCGGAAGAGGTTGGTGTAGAAGTTCTTCGCGATAAATTCCATCTTGTATCGGGAAGAAGTCGGAGTCCCGTCTTCGTTCAATAGTGCAGCCAGCGGTACGTGATATTCACAGAGGTCCCCTCGGCATTTCTTGAGACTTCGTCTTCCTTCGGCTGCTTCCAGTATCTTGGCTTGCCTGTACTTCCTGAGATCCTCCTGCAAAACTGTTCTGCAACTAGCGTTGGCTATCAATCGCTCGAGATGGGTTGCATTCGGATCCTGCCTCAGAAATCTTCTTCTTCCAAGCAATTCCTTGGTGGTCTTCGAAATACTTCCAAGTTCTTCTCAGAAGTCACTGAGGCGCACTCTCCGCAGGCTCGCAATCCTTTCAGAAGCCGGTCGTAGTCGTACGTTGGGTCCTCCTCGATGGGCCAGTCACAATTGATATGAGCTCTTCCAGCCTGTTACCGTCATAAACGACTTCCTTCCTTCTCGCGGCACTGTGACAGATTTTCTTTCCCAGCCTTCGGCTGAGTCGTATCTTCGCTCAAAGGAGGCGGTGATCGGAGCCACTGCAGAAGGATGGAACTGCTGAAACATCGAGCAAGCTCCACCTTCGGTTGGTAAGAATGTGGTCGATCTCCGCGTGAGTCGTTCCGTTGGGCGATTCCCATGTCCACCGGCGATGTTCTTTCTTCATGAAAATCGAATTTTCACGGAAAAGTCGTGCGTCGGAGAGAAGCCCAACGAGACGGTTGCCGTTTTCATTCCGGAGCCCATATCCAAACTTCCTGATCCTATATTCCTTTTCTAGTGACATCCCGATTTTCGCATTGAAGTCGCCCACAACATACTTATAGAAGGACTCTTCGTTGCGGATGACCTCCTCCACGTCTTCGTAGAAGACTTCTAGTTCTGAGTCGTCGCTGCTGATGTTGGAGAGTAGCTGTTGATGATGCTGGTCTTCTGACGTGGAGGGCGTAGTCGTAGGATGGCTAGTCGAGGCGATAGGATCTTGTGCGAATCGACAAGATGGACGATAGATGGGTGGACTACAAAGCCAACGCCTCCCACGTTTCGTGGTGAAACCTTCTCACCACGAATGATGCGCGTCATACCTTCGATAGTCTAGAGACAGGGCGTCAAAAGTGAAGATCGTTTGAACATATGACGTCATAAATTGTGAAGGTTGTTTGAAGAAGTTCAGAGAAGAGAATATGACGTAAAACAGATATAAAAAGCAAAAGAAACTGCTGAAAACTGGATAAAAACGCCGCAAAGAGGTCTGAAATCTTTCATTTGGCAGCTTTTCAAGTGCAGGTTTTCGCTCCAGGACCAGCAATTCGCAACCCGGGGTTTTGATTTTTGATGCGTCCTTTGAATTTTTACCCCCGCACTGACGTTCCTGTTTACTGGGACGTTGTCTGGATTGTTGCGCTTATTGTTCTGAGCAATAATGCCCAAGCTGGAAAAAAATCTATGCGAAAGCACTGAAACAGAACAAGATAAAGAAAAACGTACTTTTGACGATTTTTTGCAAAAAACTCCACCATAATCAAAGAGGTAATAGCTGGGTGGTTGTCTGCATTTTGAACAAAAGCAATATCTATAGAATGCACGAAAAAACCGCGTGAAAATAGTTAACCTAGGAGAAAAACAAGACATTTTAGAAAACAAGGTTTTTGCCGGATTTCTCAATCAAATCAGAAAATGCGGTTCTGGGACGTTGTCAGCGTGAAAATAGAGATCAAGAGCTTCAAAATGATATATACCTTGCTAGAATTGGGTTCGAAACAGCGAAGAAAAGGGTACCAGAGCCAAATGCCCCGCGCCCCGCGTTTAGGGTAGCGAGGTAGCGCGCGGCGCACGGAGACGCAGACGAGCAGCGGAGACAGACCAGAGCCGACGGGGCATTTGGCTCTGGTAGTAGATCTCCGCGAGGTCTCAACGAAACCCTGCAACATTATATATCATTCTGATCGTCATGACACGACGAGGAGAATTGACAACGTCCCAAGCTTTGAAAATCACTCATTAACGAGATAGACCAGCGTTTTCCTGCGCGACTCTCTGCGCAAAATTTAAGCGCAGTTTCTCGTTTTTATTTAACTCCAGTAGCTTTTCTAAACTTCTGAAACTCGCTTTTATTCAAATGAGAGGATAACTGAGAGATCTTGTCTTGAATTCTGGCGAAGATTCCACGGAAACCTTCTTTTTAAGGTAAAAAAGGCTATGAAAACGCAAATTCTCGGTTTCGCTGAGATAACTAAAGATATTATTCCCTATATTTGCTTCATTGACATTCGTTCCGATATAGTCAGGATAATAACATCCGAGGCGAAACCCCGGATGACTTCTGTTTTTTTCCTGGTGAAGGTTGTGTCCCCTCATAACCCTCAAAGTGGAGGTTACCAGAGTACGTGGCTCTATGTATCGAGGGTATGATGCGCGTCCCATCATTCATCTGTCGCACGTCCTTCTTCCTGGACTTCGTTTCCTGCAGAGCGATGATGTGGCACTTGATGTGCTCTGCAGCGTCGAGGAGAGCGTGGAAGTCGGCGTTTGTGGAGACTGTCCTGACGTTGCAGGTGCAGAGCATGTGGCAGTCTCCATAGCGTGTCGTCCGGGCAGACGTGTCGTTTTTGTCCCATCCGAAAGGCGCCCTGAGGACCCTAACATCAGTCTTGCTACCACCCGGCGCCGTAGGCGAGATCCGATGTGCAGGGTTTCTTGCTATTCTTCTAACTGGTAGAGTAATGAAGTTTTTCCCCCTACAATAGCAGACTTACTAGGCCAACTCTTGATTTCCACGGGGCTATCGCTGACCCCGGGCTTGGAGCGGGGAGAACCGCCTAGCGACCTGAAAACCAGACGGCGGTGCTTGGCCTGGTCGGCTCTTAACTAGGCATCCGGCCGAAACCGGAAACGTCGAACTCCTTCACAGCTTGGGAGGCCCTGCCAGAATATACACTTCGGCTGTGCATCGCAGTTCGACACCCAGTGTCACCCCCACGCCACGATGAGGCGGCCGACCGTTGTGGGGGTTCTGGGCTGATTGCAAAAGTTGGATCTGCTTGAATCTCAATATTAAGTTCGCTGCTCTGCCTATCCTCCTATTCAAAAGAAGATCATTGAATGAGATAAGATTGAAGCTGTGCCTCAAACTAGTTCGTCTCACTCCATACTCAAAATGATTAGTAAGCACTGATGGAGTAGGATTCTCCAAGAGCCCGTCGCTTCTTCTTCAGGCGCGCCCTTGGGAGGCAAATGACTTCGCGGCTACCTCACACCGTCCTACATGTCTCGCACATTGCTACCTTAGTTTCCCTCGGGATAATCACCTTTTTTTCCTGGCATCAATTTTAAAGGTCAGTACTAAACGAGGATTTGTAAAAGATTAACTAAAAATGAAAATGCTTTGGAAAAAGCCTCAAAATGAAGTTTTTAAATGGATCCCTTGGCTTCTGAACAACAAAATTGAGAGTAGCAAAGTTTTGCAAAGATGGATATGTTTGACAAGTTATATGCAAGCCATGGACTTCAGCCCAAAAAATTGAACAAAAGTTCATTAGTTCACGAAAATGGCGTCAGAAAGGATTGTCTGTTTGGATGATCAATTTGCGAAGGTTCTAGCTCAGCATTTGAAATGATTTTGCACGAAGCTGTAGCCCACGGTGACTGTCCTCAAAGGCAGCGTCCAGGCAAACCTGGATTATGGGGCTACCACGGGATAGTAATCTCGGAACCCTAACTAAGCCACTGCCCGAGCGGCAGCTCAGGTAGTGCACTAACGGCTGAGATATTCACAAGGGAATGGTCAGAATTCGAAGTGGCCAAACCAAGCAAGCTGTATACCATTCGATGCAGTATAAAACGCTGACTTCGAATCTGTCTTTCTTATCTGCTTCCCGCTTCTGTGGACGAAGCTACAAACCATTAAAGACCATTATTTTGCCAAGAAATTACGCGTGAAATTGAAAATTTAGCCGTGCAGAGCCACGTTCGCCTTAAAGCTGGGCCAAAACATGCAGCTAGCCTATTTCAAATTTTTAAAGGAAGAAGCTGAGCTAAAAATGCAACAGTGTGCTCAATTTCGCTGTTTTTATGTGTGATTTTTTCACAATAAAACCGCTTGTAGCTTCGTCCACAGAAGCGGGAAGCAGATAAGAAAGACAGATTCGAAGTCAGCGTTTTATACTGCATCGAATGGTTTACAGCTTGTTTGGTTTGGCCACTTCGACTTCTGACCACTCCCTTGTCAGCTCGAAACTGGACCCCGGGATCGTATTTCGCATGAATACATGGCGCAAAACATCAAATTCGCGCGGGGAGCCTTGGGTTCCGTCATGATTCCATGCGAAGTACGATCCGGGGTCCAGTTTCGAGACGAATATCTCAGCCGTTAGTGCACTACCTGAGGTGCCGCTTGGGCACTGGCTTAGTTAGGGCCCCAAGATTACACCAAGAGCCATATGTCCAGATTTGCCTGGACGCTGCCTTTGCGATTTCCAAGCCAAAGGGCCAAAAACCGATTCAAATTTGCATTTGTTTTTCGAGAGTTTTATTCACGCGAAATGATCGACCACACATGAAAAAGCTTTTGGAATGAGTAGTTGTTTACAAAGCATTCATGATAGTCTGCATAGCATGGTGACTTTCGTTGTTATTATTATTGTTATTATTGTGGGAATGAGTAAGACATACAGTAGGACTATGAGCCTCTGCAAAGCAGAGGTGTTATCAAAAAATGTGCTTTTTTTGTTGACGTTATTCTGATGAATACAAAACAATCGTTTACTACGTTTGGATTTAACGTGCTCTCGTTTTTTGCAAATTTGCATGTACGAGGCGCACCTTTTGCTTCCATACTCAGACAATCGACGGGACCCCTCCGCCGGACCCTCCGAAACTGCCAGAGTCGCGCCGGACCCAGTTGACCAATGAGAGAAGGGCAAACGGGCGGTCCATCGCGGTGACATCATTGGCAGGCAAATGGGAGGCTTCTCCGGCCCTGCTGCAAAGGTCCGCCATTTCTCCGGCGCGACTCTGCCAGATTTGGCGGACTCCGCGCCGGAGAAATTTGCGCGGCGCGTGTCCGCCAAATTTGAGAGAGCCGCGCCGGAGAAAATGGGAGGGGTCCGGAGCAGAAATGGGAGGCCTCCGGAGCAGAAAATGGGAGGTATCCGGAGCAGAAAATGGGAGGTATCCGGAGCAGAAAATGGGAGGTATCCGGAGCAGAAAATGGGAGGTATCCGGAGCAGGAAATGGGAGGTATCCGGAGCAGAAAATGGGAGGTATCCGGAGCAGAAAATGGGAGGTATCCGGAGCAGAAAATGGGAGGTCTCCGGAGCAGAAAATGGGAGGTATCCGGAGCAAAAAATGGGAGGTGTCCGGAGCAGAAAATGGGAGGTATCCGGAGCAGAAATGGGAGGGCTCCGGAGCAGAAAATGGGAGGTATCCGGAGCAGAAAATGGGAGGTATCCGGAGCAGAAAATGGGAGGTATCCGGAGCAGAAATGGGAGGGCTCCGGAGCAGAAAATGGGAGGTATCCGGAGCAGAAAATGGGAGGTATCCGGAGCAGAAAATGGGAGGTATCCGGAGCAAAAAATGGGAGGTGTCCGGAGCAGAAAATGGGAGGTATCCGGAGCAGAAATGGGAGGGCTCCGGAGCAGAAAATGGGAGGTATCCGGAGCAGAAAATGGGAGGTCTCCGGAGCAGAAAATGGGAGGTATCCGGAGC